AATTAGAGCAAATAAGAACTTTAGGAATCTAACTTTTGATTGAAGCTAATTTTTTCAGAATTCCCTTTGAAGATTCAGGTTTGTTATTCCTTTGTGGAACTAATTTTTGAAAAACTTCATATGATTATTCATTAGAATCTGAGTCAAGAAAATCATTTTTAGTTTTTTCCAGAGATAATCCATGCTCTGATTGCTTTGGTGTTGCTTTGTAAATACCATAACCTTCACAATCTCATTGAAAGATATTGGAATATCTTTTATGAGACGAATTTCAAAAATGGAGTAGGAGGAATACTTTCATCATAGGTAGCAATTTCTTCTTTGACTTCATTTGCTTGATTGTGCTCAAAAGATTCACTTTCAGCTTTATCTAATATTCCTTTAGGTATAAACTCAGTAGCTTCTAGATTTAGTATCTTGACTTCTAATTTAGTATTAAAGCTATCATCAAAGATGTTGAGTTCTAAGATACTTGATCTAGAAGATATCAAGCTTTTTGGCTCGGACTTTAGAGTTTAGACATAGTCATAATTGAAAACATGAGATATTTTCTTTCTCTGTTCTGTTATAAAATCATTAGACTTGGAAGTTAAAGATTCAGAAGATGAATTATGTTTTCTGGTAACGTTTGTCTTCCTTGTCTATTTTTGAAATTACATCAGAAGCAAGTCCATGCTTTGCATTCTTAAATTTAAGTCTTCTGGAATGTTGTACATCATCAGAGGTTTAAAATGTCTTAAAAACAATTAATTTTTCAAAATAGGATTCTTATGATTTTGAGTACATCTAATGTGGAAAGTTGAGGATATACTTTTCTTTTTGTTTCCAATAAAGGAATCAAGATCATTGGATCTCAAACCCTGTCTATTTATTTGAGAATTTATCTTGATGGGCACATCTTCTACATCCTAATAATTCTTGCTTAAAATTTCTTTGGCTAGAAGCCTCTAATGCAAAAGTTCTCTCTTTTTGGAAATAAAAAATGAGGGCAGTTGAATTAAATCTAGCAAATTCAGGCATACCTAATTCACTTTCTTTTTTAGCTAATATTTTTTCCAACTTTTCACTTTTCTCTTTCTTCTTTTTCTATTTTTCTTTATTTTTTCTTTTCTCTCAATTTCCTTTTGAATTCTTTCTTTTTCTTCTTCAATCAACATATTTTCTTTCATGATAAACTCTACTTCTTATTTTATTTTCTTTCTATCCTTTTTCTCAGTTTTTTTATTTTAAATTTTATCTTTTGAAAATAGTTTTAGAGTTTCTAAAACCATCTTTATCAGAGGTATAATAGACCTTGGCTTTAGAGTAAAAAATAGAGGCTTTAGAAGTATACTTGGGTTTAGAGGATATAAACATCAAACAAAAGTGAGCTTGTCAGGTTCATCTTCAGAGGTAGAGTTTGAGATCAATTTTTCTTTTTCAGCCATCAGGACTTCTCTCTCTGTTATTATACTTGTATTTGTTCTTGTAATAATTTGCATCATTGACATGTTTTCCTCGACAATCCGTTGCAAAGTGACTAGGTTTACCACACCTATAGCATTTAGAACCCTCAGTGACCTTCTCTTCATCTCCTTCCTCTACCCTCTCTTCTTCCCTCTGATAATTTTCTTTTGTAATGCTTCTGATCAGAGATAGTATTCTAATATCTATCTCTAGAATTCCTTCTTTGATTGTTCCTCTTATCAAAAGGTCTTTTGACAAATTTTCTTGAGAATTCCTTAGTGATTAGGGACAAAGATCGTGCAAAAGCACTTAGATCAACATCTGAGTCAATTTCCTCTTCAAATTCAAATTCACTTGGAGGTATCATAAGTGCTTTGTTCTTTCCACTATTTTTCTCATATCCATCGGAAGGTGTTTTCTTTGTCTTCTTCTCTTTCTCCTATAAGACTAGACTCGGAGGTTCTCTATTACCTTATATTTTATTCTCCTCTGATTCTTGTCCAACCAATGTTCCATACGCATCATGCAAAGCCCAACCCGAATAGACGTGGACAATTGAGTCCATTCATCACTTAGACTTTTCAATAACACAAGATTGTTTCATCATTGGTTTTAACAATCCCATTTTTTTACACTTGTTAACCAATGTGTAGAAACGATCATGAGTACTCTATAGAATTCCCTCTGTTATAGCTATGAAGGAATGTCATTAATGCATTGAATTCTTATGTTTATTTTGGTTTTATTTCCTCCTTCTATTTGATTTGTCAGTTCATACTAAATATCCTTGACACTTGTACAAGAGTTTAGAGATCGAATATATCATTTGTAACTACCATTATAAGTAACTTTTTTGGCTCTACGAACAATCTCCACTTTGGCAACTGCTTCTTATCCCATAGACTTGTATGAATGTAGGAATTTCTTAAGTTATTCTTGTAGCTGGAACCCTTGGGATGGTAACATGAGGAACATATGGTTCATTTTGAGAAGAGATTTGTACAATTTGTTGTCTAAACCTTCTAGCAAATTAATCATCTATATCTTCCATTTTGGACATTCATATCTCACCAGCGTAGGTGGTTTTGTGAGATCCCACATTGTATGCAGAATTCCAATTGTAGTTTGACATGATTTTGTAAAGAAAATGCAGATTTAAATCTTCAAGTGATGAGATAAACCATTGTCTTCTTAGAATTGAGCTCGAAGTTGTAGAAAAGTAAAAGAAACAAGGTTGTATATAACTTTATGTAGATTTGAAGAAATTTGTCATGAAATTGAGAAAACGATTAATCTACTTAAACTTTTTCAAAGTGTTTATTGGTGAAAGTTTATTCCAAATACAAGGCATGAAGAGGCTATTTATAGGCTCTACAGGTTCAAGTCAATGCACTACCGAATGAAGATCTTTCCACCTGTAAAAGTATATAACAAAGTTTAGGTAGGAACAATTATAGCTCAGATCTTTAGAACCTTGATCAGACAGCAAAGTGTTAAAATTATGTGGCATTTGTTTTTTAAAAGGTGTTGAACTCTAAAGTTTGATTTCACTTATGATTTATAAGAGATGGTGCTGAAATCTGAAATCTGAAATCTGAATCAGTCAAACTGTTTGTTTTTACGTCGAAAATATGAAACCAGAAAGGTTACAAACGTGCATTAAGTTGAGACAATTTCTCATCATATCTCAACAATTTAACAAAATAAAACATCATAAACTACAAAAAACTGCCAGACCTAAGACGTTTCCAAGGAAAATTGATATGAATTGAATCAATCATTGCATACAATCTTCATTCTAAACGAAAATATCAAACAGACCCACATATGAAGTAAACAATGATTCAGATTGCATGAAAAAAGTTAGGGGCTGTTTGTTTCCCTCTTAATGGTGACATTAAGAGGAAGCCTCTTAATCGCTAAGAGGCAGAAGCTGTTTGGCAAAAAAATAACAACCTCTTAATGGTGACAATATCCTCTTAACGGTTCTGTGTTTAAGGTGCTCCTAAATGGTTCAGATGTAAGTTGTTCCATTTTTACCCTCCCACTTCTCCAGCCGGCTACTCATCCCACTCGATCCTTCCTCCTCCCACTCGATCCCGTCGTTCTCCCCGTCGTCTCATCCCATTTACAGACTCATCTCCCTYCTCCCCATCTTCTACCTTCTCACCATMTTTCCCCTCCTCCTCTCATCTGCCTTCACCATCGYCRTCGCCACCTTCTTCTTCACTTGGCTGGCCACTTTCAAGCTCCTCCTYGTCGYGTTGCACAGGTTCGCCGGTTGTCGCTCGACCGTCACCATCGCCGGCGACCTCCACCGTCTYCATCGCCGGCGACCTCCACAGCTTCCATCGYCGGCGACCTCCACAGCTTCCATCGCCAGTCCCTTAAYAGTAGCACARCTTCGATTTCAAGTAAATGCATAATGAAACTTCCATCGCCGGTCGCCAGTCCCTTAACAGTAGCACARCTTCGATTGTCGCCTCCATTAGGTTTTCGTTCTTTAATTTTTAGTTGTTAGGATAATGGTAATTTGTTCAGGATCCCACAATTAAAAGGTTAAAAAAGAGAGGGTTAAAATGGTAATTTGCTTTTATTCAGAAAACAGTTACCAAACAACATTATTTCATTCAGCACTTAACCATTCTGACCCTCTTAACCATTTTGACCTCTTAACTATTCTGCACTAAATCATTCAGCAACTGCCAAACAGCCCCTTAGACACCATAAATGATTGTTAGACACCATAAATGATTTATCTTCTTACCTACGAGAAAACCAAAAGGACTCCATCCATGCTTTTAAAGATTCAGAAATACCACAGACCCTAAATGGCTATAATTATGAGCATCATTACTCATTTCTTCAAGCATCACACAAATATGGACCAACTTCATTTCTTCAAGCATCACACAAACATGGACCAACTTCAGAGATAGAGAGCATTAGAGATCGGTACCTTACAGATCTGGAAACGACCAGCTTGAGCTTGAAAGATCGAGACTGTGAGATCGAAGAAAAGAGGCCGTGATTTTTTGAATGAAACAGCAGAGAGAGAGAGAGAGAGAGGGGGTAGAGAAGGATTAAAAGGAATTAAGGGGTTTTTCTACCCCTTAAAATTTCAGACGTAGGTAGGTAAGGGCTTTTAAGCTCTTATTTGAGACTCTTAATACCAAAAAGATCGAATCAGACTTCATAGGTATTTAAAGTTTTAATCTTGAAAAAACAAACATAGAGAGAACTTCAGAGGCAACCGTGTGAGTTCTCTGCAAAAGGCCAATCAGAGCTCTAAATGTTCTCTGAAATGTCTCCGAGCAACAATTGTTAGATTATCGAGCTTATCAACTATAGATTGAACCATTGAAAAAAGAGACTTCGGGTCCGGGTTGAAGGGCTTTCTCGGCCCTACCTTCATGGACGAGCCTTAGGCTGTTTGGTATACAAGACACCGGGCCCAAGGGCTTTTGGTTGGACCATTGGAGTAAGCGGATGAATCCTTTCTTCCAAACTCGAAAGCAACGTGATTTTGTTAAACAAAATAAAATCCAAACCAAGATTCATTTCTTTCCCATAAAAATGAAATTCAACTTTTATTTTCAAGGTCGCATATTTTTACATGGATTGTCCCTGCATGCATTTATCCACTCAGAAGACCCTCTTTTATTATCATTCCCTACATGAGACCTTTTCTAACTAAAAAGAACATTTAGAAGAGCATTCATTCCCTTCTGTCTGGTTGATCCGGAAGTTGGGCTCAAAACCACACCTTCTTGCCTGTTATACTTGAGCTCCTTCGCCTGCTCTCTTGAGATCTCATATGAGTTGGCGACCACTTCCTCCGGCAATGCCCGCAAGAAAGAAAACCGACCCGCAAGCTGTGTGGTTATGGCGTTGTCGTTTGTCTTGAATGCCACCCACTCGCACCCTTGCTCACCTGCCTTCTTCACCACCGCAAAGTTCTGTGGCACTACGATCAGCTGACCTTGTTGCACAAAGCCATCGAACACGGCGGTGCCGTCGTTTCTCACGATTTGCAAACGACTGTTTCCACTTGTGACGTAGATTATGCTGTGGGAGTTCAAATTATAGTTTGGTGCCAGCACCGCATTCTTCACGTAAGTCGGAAATCTAAGTTAGTATTTGAACTCATTCAGGTAGCCATTTCAGTTCCTTAATATTTGGACAGAATTATACCTTATAAAGGACTCCTTTTTCGGCACTAAGTTGGAGCCAGTTGAGGATGGGGAGCTTGTGACCGTTGAGACTGCTGAGGCGTCCGCCACGTGGGTTGTACACGTCGGCACGATCTGGGTCGGCGATGTTGGCCCTCAACTCGGTCGAGCATATGTTTTCCTCTATGCCGTTGCGTGGTGATGATCGTTGGTATTCTTGTTTTTCTGGGATCAAGACATCGAAGTTATCGGCTCTAACGATGAATCCACGGTTGTCTTTTTGCCCTTTTAGTTGGTTCACGATGTTGAATTCGACCTTAAAGACCTCCTGGAGGATCTGGTCGTCAAAGCCGTTGAAGATATTGGAGCTTTCTTGTTCATGAAGTTTCTGTTTCCCCCATCCACCGGAGCCGCCGGCATGCTCGCGTTCCGGTTGGCCATACCCTACTTGTTGGCTTTGTGGGTTCCCCGCCAGGAAAAATTTCTAACGACCATAAACCCAAAAAAAATGATCACTGGAATTTGCATTGGCAGAATACTATTGAACTGACTTAATCAACAGATTAAAGTTACCCTGAAGTTTCGATCGAGTTGGTTGGCCACATTGCTCGTATCACGAAGTACAATCAGAACTATTTGTGTGTCACCGTCATTGTACGTCCAATGAACTGCACCAGCCGGCAAAGCTAGTATATCACCTTCTTTGTATCGGAAAACCTTCTGGTGCCTGTCAAGAAACTGTTCTTTTCCTCTTCCAGCACCCTCCGATGATGATTCAAACGTTTCAGGGCATCCGGGAAAGGCGCTTCCCTGAATACCACTTCCTTTATCAAATAAACCGGTCAAGCAAAAGTTAAATTACAAGTTACACTGCACAATGTACAAGAAAAGAGCTGAAGAAGATGTTAACGGGTACCTCGGACGACATAGACGAGCTCAGGTGCATTTGCGTAGAATGGCAAGAAAAGTCCTTTAGTATTAATAGTATGACGAGCTACTTCCACACCGGCGCAGTCGAGTTCATCGTTCTCGTCGGAGACCCAGAACTCAGATACTCCGGCTTCCGATTGCAGAACACGGTTGGGTTCTCTGGCGCTGATTCTGTCGATCTGGCAGTCGGATCGTCCACGAAGACGTGACTGTTTCTGTTGCTGCGATCGCTCTAACTGAGCAAAACAACCATTAAAGAGTACAATAAAACAAAGCCCAAGAGGCAGAAGTCTAGAAGACAATGCGGAAGCCATTGTTGAAATGCAGTGGCATGAAATGGCGCAGAGGGTGGGTGTGGATTTATAATGGATATACGAGCATGAGGATCTTACACGTAACGAAAATGGTGGCACATTTATTCTGTTTAGGATCCTGCAATGTATACACGTTGAATTTTGAGGGTCTTATGCGGCTCAAAAGCGACAAAGCTATATTGTTTCTTGGTATTCAATGAACCTGGTCATCGTCGTCTCGCAACTGAACACTCGACTCGCAAATGGTGTACAAAATACGGCCAACCGGTTTAATCCACTAAACCCAACACCCAAACACCTCAATTAAACCCTACCTAATAAATTAAGCCGCGTTTGATTCGTTGAATATTTTTTTCTATAGAATGAAATTTGTTAAAAGAATTTAATTTTAAAAAAATTAGAATGAAATGTTGTCAGGTTTAACCACATATTTGGTTGACAAAATTGGAATAAAATCTATTAAAGAAATTAGTATATGTCTATTTGATTCACATAATGTAACTTTGAAATTAAAATGAAATTCTGATAAATGACTAAAATAGCCTTTTTGATAAATTAATTTTTTAAACTTAAAATATTTTAATATAAGAATTATTAATTCTTTTAATTTTTTTAAACTAGAAATACTTTAATAAAATAATAATTAAATATTCGAATGTGTAAAACAATATAAAAATACACAACTCAAATATAACCATAAACCAAATGATGTTACAAAATTGACATAAAATTGCTTCAAAATCCATCAAACATGTTCAAAATAATTACATGCCACCATCATTAAACAATCGTACATATGACGTCAAAATACCAAAGCATGTTCAAATACATGTTCCAATAACCATTAAGCATCATAGTTTAAAAAAAAAAGTTAAACCATCAAACACAACAATTCTTGCAAAATATACCTCATAAACTCTTCTCGAGCTTCTCCTTCATAGTTCCAAAAACTTAACACGGATTCAGGTTCATGTGTTATTTTTCTCAATGCTTTAAACTTTTCTATTGAAGTAAAATTCATTTTGGCGAGTTCAGAACCAACCACGGAAGTCTTTTGATGTAAATCTATCTCAACTTGCACCAACTTGTCCGATGATTTTAAAAGTCTATCTCCAGTACGACATCAGCATTATTTATTGCATCAACAACATGATCATCTCGACTCTTGCGCTTTCCTACTACCTTGAGATGTACACTCTTGATTTGGCATTTGGCTATCTTCTGTCGGATAGTCCGTGTTTTCATCAGATCGTTGGTCTTGAAAGGGCATCTGGCCATCTTCCATGTCAGTATTTTCTTCTAAACCATCATAGTCTCTAGCCTGATTTCCATGAGCACGATCTTTTCCAAAAACATAAGACAAGTCTTCATAATGAGGAAATGGTTTGTTTCTCCATTTTGAAGCCTCTTTGTGTACCTAAATTTGCAAAAGACATAGAAATGTTGAAAAAACAATTCTTAACATGGTAATATGTTCCTATAGGTAAGACTCCCAAATTGACGTCTCGACAGTCACACACATTTTAGAACTATCGTAACCCAAGCCACTTGTGTTCGTACCATGTAGCATATCATGTACGATTTGTCAGTCCTTTTCCATGGTCTTTATTCTTTACTTGATGTGTGGTTTACCTAATAAATTAGAATCAAGAAGCAACACTTTCAATGATTGTTCCAAATGTTGCAAGTATCCGGATTTAAAACCATTATCAGTTTTATATCCTCCAACATTGACCATATTCACCAATGCATCAACAAGTTTTCCGTCTTTGATTTTTGACCAATTTTAGTACTTACGGCCATTGATTTTATCCGCTATATCTAATATTAAAGATTAAATTGTACCATTATATTAAATAACGATAAAGATCAAATTATACCATTAAAATTAATAATGAAAAAGATGAAATTGTACCTAACATACATAATTTCCAACACAAGATGGGCAGATATAAAATGAAGCAGTAAAGTTCACAGGCACCTAAACTCATTGAAGGTGATTGGCCGACACTCTCACAAAATGCTCAAAAGGTTTCATCCAAGCACATAACATAGTACATAAAAACGATAAAGATGAAATTGTACCATTACAAACCATAAAAAAATCAAATTGTACTATTAAAAACCATAAAAATTAAATTGTACTATTACAAACCATAAAAATAAATTGTACTATTACAAACCACAAAAATTAAGTAGAAGCATTCAAATCATTAAACATACTTTGAGCCTAATTATTTCTAAATTCAGTCCACTAGGAGAGAGGCATCTACGGAAGTGATTTTATTCTCATCTTGGTTTTCAGTGTATTCGATTTCATTCGAGCAAGATATGTTTTCAAACGGATCAATTGGCATTTCTTGTCTTATAAAATTATTAAAAAGACAACATGCCATTATGACCTTAACTTTCAGTTCAACAGGTAGTATGAATTATCTTTTAAAATTCCCCACCTTGCTTTCAAAATACCGAAGCATCATTCTATAACATTTCTTGCAGAAGAATGTCTCATGTTGAAAAATTCTTTCGGCGTAGTTGGTTGGTGTCCATCACGCCACTCATTTAAATGATATATTTGACCTCTATAAGGGGCAAGAAAACCCTCTCCATTTGTATACCCACCAACTACTAAGTAATAATACGACTTTGGCACTTTCAACCCATTGGGCCTAAGAAGAGCATCTCGAAGGACTCTACTATCAACGGCTGACCCCTCCCATCATGCCAAGACATAGATAAACTGTATATCTTGTTAACACACCCCTAACACGTTTGTGGCAATATCATTCTATCGTGTTCTGTGTCTAGGCTTGTCTTCGAGTGGCACTAGGCACTTTATATATGTTCCATCTAAAGTTCCTAGACAGTTCTAGAACAAAAAAAAAAAAAACAGTCATTACACATTTTTAATTTACTACATGAACACCAATAAAGGTTTTAATTATATTTACCTTGAACCATTTCCATCTTCGATCAGTAGAGTCCTCACGAACAGGTTTGAGTTTGTTAAGTAAATGTGGGTGTAATCTATTAA